CTGATTGTGTGGAAGCAATGTAATAACTGATTGTGTGTAAGCAATGTAATAGCTGATTGTGTGTAAACAATATAATAACTGATTGTGTGTAAGCAATGTAATAACTGATTGTGTGTAAGCAATGTCATAACTGATTGTGTGTAAGCAATGTAATAACTGATTGTGTGGAAGCAATGTAATAACTGATTGTGTGTAAGCAATGTAATTACTGATTGTGTGTAAACAATATAATAACTGATTGTGTGTAAGCAATGTAATAACTGATTGTGTGTAAGCAATGTAATTACTGATTGTGTGTAAACAATATAATAACTGATTGTGTGTAAGCAATGTAATAACTGATTGTGTGTAAGCAATGTAATAACTGATTGTGTGTAAGCAATGTAATAACTGATTGCGTGTCAACAATGAAATAACAGATTGTGTAGACACAAATAACTGATCATGTGCAAGCAAACCTCGACCAATTGTGTCCATCAATCATGGAGCTGATGTGGAGATTGTTGTAGTGAAACCAGGACCTGCTGGACACACCACACAAATCCCCCATGGCTCTATACCCCTGGCCAGTGGTGCCAAATCTGGCGGCAAACACTAGCAGTCACCAGAGACTTGTTCAGGATCAAGTGAATTCATGCAGCATCCCAGGAATCAATAAGGAGTGATGACCAACATCGCCACATTGTTTTCATTCGTTATCCATTTCACAAACACACCTACATGAAGGAGCGTATTTACAAAATGTGACAGCAAGCTAACTGATACATTTCAGTAAAAGTTAACAGAGACATCAACATAGCAAGGCACAGTCAGTAGATGGTGTCCTCACCAGCAGCAAGAACGAGAAAGAAGAGGGGACGGTGAAGGGAGGGAGGGGGGGAGAAGGGTTTAACAGCACAGCACACAATGCCATGCAAATAAGCAAGTGACAGAGCTTGACAAATCAGCTGACATCCACTACCCCTGCACAGATTAGGCACATGTCAGTAGCCCACTGATCATCAGCTGACATCCACTACCTCCGCACAGATTAGGCACATGTCAGTAGCCCTCTGATCATCAGCTGACATCAACTACCTCCGCACGGCTAGGCACATGTCAGTAGCCCACTGATCATCAGCTGACATCCACTACCTCCACACAGATTAGGCACATGTCAGTAGCCCTCTGATCATCAGTAGACATTCACTACCTCCACACAGATAAGGCACATGACAGTAGCCCACTGATCATCAGCTGACATCCACTACCTCCGCACAGATTAGGCACATGTCAGTAGCCCACTGATCATCAGCTGACATTCACTACCTCCGCACAGATTAGGCACATGTCAGTAGCCCACTGATCATCAGCTGACATCCACTACCTCCGCACGGCTAGGCACATGTCAGTAGCCCTCTGATCATCAGCTGACATCCACTACCTCCGCACGGCTAGGCACATGTCAGTAGCCCTCTGATCATCAGCTGACATTCACTACCTCCGCACAGATTAGGCACATGTCAGTAGCCCTCTGATCATCAGCTGACATTCACTACCTCCGCACAGATTAGGCACATGTCAGTAGCCCACTTAGACTAACATTTAGTCTCTGAAATCTTATATTACACAATATCCTTCTTGACTCTAAAAATAAAAATAAAATTCCCTATGCTGATTGTGGAATAGAGCTAGCTTGAGCTGGCTAGACTTGCTTTTGTATGCATTTCTAGATTATGTTTTTTTCATAAAATAAATATATTCCACGGTCATGGTGCAGGACTATAGCCCACTGATCATCAGCTGATAGCCTTACTGATTATAAGGCCAGCCTTATTTGATTATTTGTTACATAAATCTTTCAATTTTTTTCCAAATGACAACAACACATTATCTTTGTCCAGCCCAACAAAAGTGCAGGGGAGGTAACTCTGAGCTGAACCCTCCTTTAACACTGAGACCAAATTCATTAGTTTCAGAATGAGTGAGTGAGTGGCATATGGCACTGCCTTAGACAGTATTATAGATATATCAGAGTCAGCTTGGTCGAAACTCCTACAGTGGTTGTCCAAATGAACCACACCAGCCACAGCTCCAATGTTCCAGTGTAACAACCTCACACAGCCCAGCTGATGTTCCAGTCTAACAACCTCACACAGCCCAGCTGATGTTCAAATCTAACAACCTCACACAGCCCAGCTGATCCAGTCTAACAACCTCACACAGCCCAGCTGATGTTCCAGTCTAACAACCTCACACAGCCTCACACAGCTCAACTGATGTTCCAGTCTAACAACCTCACACAACCTCATACAGCCCAGCTGGTGTTCCAGTCTAACAACCTCACACAGCCCAGCTGGTGTTCTACTGTAACAACCTCACACAGCCCAGCAGATGTTCCAGTCTAACAACCTCACACAGCCTCACACAGCTCAACTGATGTTCCAGTCTAACAACCTCACACAGCCCAGCTGATGTTCTACTGTAACAACCTCACACAGCCCAGCTGATGTTCTACTGTAACAACCTCACACAGCCCAGCTGATGTTCCAGTCTAACAACCTCACACAGCCCAGCTGATGTTCCAGTGTAACAACCTCACACAGCCCAGCTGATGTTCTACTGTAACAACCTCACACAGCCCAGCTGATGTTCCAGTGTAACAACCTCACATAGCCCAGCTGATGTTCCAGTGTAACAACCTCACACAGCCCAGCTGATGTTCTACTGTAACAACTTCATACAGCCCAGCTGATGTTCTACTGTAACAACCTCACACAGCCCAGCTGATGTTCTACTGTAACAACCTCACACAGCCCAGCTGATGTTCCAGTCTAACAACCTCACACAGCCCAGCTGATGTTCCAGTGTAACAACCTCACACAGCCCAGCTGATGTTCTACTGTAACAACCTCACACAGCCCAGCTGATGTTCCAGTGTAACAACCTCACACAGCCAAGTGGATGTTTCAGTCTAACATCCTCACAAAGCCCAGCTGATGTTCCAGTCTAACAACCTCACACAGCCCAGCTGATGTTCCAGTTTAACAACCTCACACAGCCCAGCTCCTGTTAAAGTCTAACAACCTCACACAGCCCAGCTGATGTTCTAAGCAGGAGGCATGTATATAAAAGCAAACCATACCCAACCTTACAACAGGTACGTCACTCTGATCAACCAACAAGAAAGGTGAGAGGAGCAGTAAACGACTGTGATGATCAAAATTCAGGTGTGTTTTCTATACCAACTCAACATGCTTAACAAAAACATGTTTTGATAACAGGTCATTGCTATCAACCAGTTTCTATATAACTTGCATGACTGGTTAATGCAGGCTACCGTGTGTGAAATATACGCTACAGTCGGAAAGCGCACGTTAAATCGCCTATATCAGTCAGTAATGCAGGCTTGTTCTAATAGCAAAACTCAATCACATTATAGCTGTAACACAGGTGAATATGTCAGTGTATCAATTGATCTACCTGGTCACATTATAGCTATGAGTGCACACAGGTGAAAACGTCAGTGTATCCATTGACCTACCTGGTCACATTATAGCTGTAACACAGGTGAAAACGTCAGTGTATCTATCCATTGATCTACCTGGTCACATTATAGATGTGAGTGTACACAGGTGAATGTGATAGTGAATCTATCTACCTGGGCCACATTACTGCTGTAACACAGGTGAATGTGACAGTGAATCCATCTAGCCTTGGCCACATTACTGCTGTAACAGATCATACCTACAGCATACACTGTCATCGTTATTATTCTCCTAGATTCTGCATCATAACAAGGACTTGTAAGATTTTTAAACATATTGGATTCCCTATTTCCAACTTGATATCAGGTAGCGTCAATTGTCAGTTTGGCAGTTCTTTGGAACTATTGTTAGTCCTTTATTCTTGTCAAATGTTTACAACAGGACCAGTGATATGAACACTGGTATATGTGACATTGACAAAACAGTTTGGTTATTAACATGATAAAGGAAGGAACCCTATCAACACTGGGTCAGGTAAGGTCGAAATAGACAGAAAATCAATAATTTACACATTCGCTGTACGAATAATACTGGCAGAACATGGAGAAAATGCCACAGAAATGTGTAGCCAGCTTAACCATTCACCCGTGATCCAGGCAGGCCAAAGCTTCATACAAGCAACATATCGCCACTTGTGACCAGAAGATTTACTCAAGTTATCACAAATACTTCTAATTATATATCTAGGTAATAAACTATAAATAGATCCACACAGGCATTACACACAGTGATACTGTCAGTATATATAATCCTTTACATAATGTCAGAATGTTACTATTAATATCAACACTGACAAGTAACAATAGTGTTGATGGTTCTGAATTAAATTGTAGCTCATTTTAATGTAGATTATAACACTGTTATTGACCATATTATTTTGTCATTCATTTCGTGACAAGCTTCTTGGCAAGATATTGTTATTATGTTGTAGAATGTGACTGAAGGGAAACATTGTTTTCTTCATAACACCACAATACATTTCTCGCCAATCCAATATGAATTATATTTCCCGCTGTCACATAAGCTACGGTTACAGTGTAGAGGAGCAGCTCGCTCACTGTTGTCAACCAATGTATAATACCGAGAGGTTCCGACGACCCCTCATACAGACCCTCGCCGAGTCTTACTGTCATTGTTCCTCGGAAACAGATACGAGCTAAAATTAATATATTAAACAGTTAGTTTTTAATAGACTATCTACGGATTTTCTAAAAAATCTGAAGTGTAATATGTGAATGAATGAACCTGGTGGGTAGTTGTATTGCGAACGTAAACACCGGCATGGTGTAAACAGATAAACATCAAATGGCAGTAGTGAGCACGGGATTGTCGCCTGCCATTAACAAGACTGATTAATGCGATAATCAACCATTATCACTGTGAGATAAGATCAGCGTCAATATGCGAGTTTTCAGGCAGTGTTGAAAGAAAAGTGGTTGTGTTGGGAGCTACCATGACACAACCGAAACCTACCTCCTGTTCGGAACTGTCTTTGAAACACAAACAGGCGGCTCTTCGTCGATATCCATCTTGGTCATAGGTCCGGATCGAATCGGGCTTTTCCTTAACCATGTTCTAGACAAACGTGTTGGAACTGTCACAAGACACTCGCCGAAGACATTTTGAGAACGCTGTGCTTGAAAGCACGTGTCGGCAAGTGAAACGGACCACTCTGCTGTCAACAATCACTTGGCTCTACTATCAACTTATTCAATGAACCGCATGTGGGTAAGGCCCGTGTGCAAAACGGTGCCAAGAGAAATATTACCCCATGAAAATCATTCCCCGTCGGTTCACTCATTTGTACTGCTACGCGTTCGCTCGATAGTTTCTGCGAGGAACGACATGAGGTCTTTTTCCCCCAGGGCCTAAGGTCGCCGATTCTGTTGTGAATTTAAGGACACTGGATATTGACTGCAGATATTAAGGACTGCAGCCCGCACGTATTATTACTGGCCACTGGGTTTTGAGCAGGCATGTAATTCGACCGGTTGAGTCAGATTAATGTAACGTTACATTGGCAATCATTAAGACAATAAGCGACGTGACTGCTTTAATGAAGGTTATTTCTACAAGGGAGTGTATAAAAGACATATAGAACCCCTGATTTTATCCGACATACCCGCGCTCGTGGGACCGCCTCCTGGGAAGCGGAAGGTCGGTGGTTCGATCCCCTGGCCGCGTCTTATCAAAAGGTGTTATAAGCTAATACTGGCTGTTACGCTGACTGGCGCTCGGCATAAATGGGATAAAACTATTCTGTGTCTCAGTGGGGTATCTATCTTAAACTGCCATGGTATCTCAGTGGGCTAGCACTTTAAAACCGACATTAGTCCGGACAAGTACTATCAGCCACACATGCACGCGCATGTTCGTCGCTATATAAATGAAATTATCTTGATCATGAAAGTGGTGTGGTAAACGTCCAAAACTTGCATCACTTCGGGGTTTCCTGTCACATGAAGCCGTGAAATAACTGAAATACTGGTTATTAATTGTTGACGTTTGGATACACGACTTGGTGCTGTCAAGCAATCGTTTACAAGAAGAACATGTGTGTATAATATATTTTGAGGCATTAACAGTTGCTTTTAGGTACAAAAAAAGTAAATTTGTGTATGTAGTGTGTGTAAAGAAATACATTTGTATGTGTAGTGTGTGTAAAGAATACATTTGTTTATGTAGTGTGTGTAAAGAATACATTTGTTTATGGAGTGTGTGTAAAGAATACATTTGTATATGTAGTGTGAGTAAAGAATACATTTGTGTATGTAGTGTGTGTAAAGAATACATTTGTTTATGTAGTGTGTGTAAAGAACACATTTGTTTATGTAGTGTGTGTAAAGAATACATTTGTATATGTTGTGTGTGTACAGAATACATTTGTATATGTTGTGTGTGTAAAGAACACATTTGTTTATGTAGTGTGTGTAAAGAATACATTTGTTTATGGAGTGTGTGTAAAGAATACATTTGTATATGTTGTGTGTGTACAGAATACATTTGTGCATGTAGTGTGCGCAAATAGTACGTTTGTCTAGGGAGCGTGTGTACAGAATACATTTGTATATGTAGTGTGTGTAAAGAATACATTTGTATATGTAGTGTGTAAAGAATACATTTGTATATGTAGTGTGTTTACAGAATACATTTGTATATATTGTGTGTGTAAAGAATACATTTGTGTATGTAGTGTGAGTAAAGAATACATTTGTATATGTAGTGTGTGTAAAGAATACATTTGTATATGTAGTGTGAGTAAAGAATACATTTGTATATGTAGTGTGAATAAAGAATACATTTGTATATGTAGTGTGTGTAAAGAATACATTTGTATATGTAGTGTGAGTAAAGAATACATTTGTATATGTAGTGTGAGTAAAGAATACATTTGTATATGTAGTGTGCGCAAATAGTACATTTGTATATGCTGTGTGTGTAAAGAATACATTTGTATATGTAGTGTGAGTAAAGAATACATTTGTATATGTAGTGTGCGCAAATAGTACATTTGTATATGCTGTGTGTGTAAAGAATACATTTGTATATGTAGTGTGTGTAAAGAATACATTTGTGTATGTAGTGTGTGTAAAGAATACATTTGTATATGTAGTGTGTGTAAAGAATACATTTGTATATGTAGTGTGTGTAAAGAATACATTTGTATATGTAGTGTGAGTAAAGAATACATTTGTATATGTAGTGTGAGTAAAGAATACATTTGTATATGTAGTGTGTGTAAAGAATACATTTGTTTATGTAGTGTGTGTAAAGAATACATTTGTTTATGTAGTGTGTGTAAAGAATACATTTGTATATGTAGTGTGTGTAAAGAATACATTTGTTTATGGAGTGTGTGTAAAGAATACATTTGTATATGTTGTCTGAGTAAAGAATACATTTGTATATGTAGTGTGAGTAAAGAATACATTTGTATATGTAGTGTGTGTAAATAGTACATTTGTATATGCTGTGTGTGTAAAGAATACATTTGTGTATGTAGTGTGTGTAAAGAATACATTTGTATATGTAGTGTGAGTAAAGAATACATTTGTGTATGTAGTGTGTGTAAAGAATACATTTGTATATGTAGTGTGAGTAAAGAATACATTTGTGTATGTAGTGTGTGTAAAGAATACATTTGTATATGTAGTGTGAGTAAAGAATACATTTGTATATGTAGTGTGTGTAAATAGTACATTTGTATATGCTGTGTGTGTAAAGAATACATTTGTATATGTAGTGTGAGTAAAGAATACATTTGTATATGTAGTGTGCGCAAATAGTACATTTGTATATGCTGTGTGTGTAAAGAATACATTTGTATATGTAGTGTGAGTAAAGAATACATTTGTATATGTAGTGTGCGCAAATAGTACATTTGTATATGCTGTGTGTGTAAAGAATACATTTGTATATGTAGTGTGAGTAAAGAATACATTTGTATATGTAGTGTGAATAAAGAATACATTTGTATATGTAGTGTGTGTAAAGAATACATTTGTATATGTAGTGTGAGTAAAGAATACATTTGTATATGTAGTGTGCGCAAATAGTACATTTGTATATGCTGTGTGTGTAAAGAATACATTTGTATATGTAGTGTGTGTAAAGAATACATTTGTATATGTAGTGTGAGTAAAGAATACATTTGTATATGTAGTGTGAGTAAAGAATACATTTGTATATGTAGTGTGTGTAAAGAATACATTTGTTTATGTAGTGTGTGTAAAGAATACATTTGTTTATGGAGTGTGTGTAAAGAATACATTTGTATATGTTGTCTGAGTAAAGAATACATTTGTATATGTAGTGTGAGTAAAGAATACATTTGTATATGTAGTGTGTGTAAATAGTACATTTGTATATGCTGTGTGTGTAAAGAATACATTTGTGTATGTAGTGTGTGTAAAGAATACATTTGTTTATGTAGTGTGTGTAAAGAAAACATTTGTATATGTAATGTGTGTAAAGAATACATTTGTATATGTAGTGTGAGTAAAGAATACATTTGTATATGTAGTGTGTGTAAAGAATACATTTGTGTATGTAGTGTGAGTAAAGAATACATTTGTATATGTAGTGTGTGTAAAGAATACATTTGTATATGTAGTGTGTGTAAAGAATACATTTGTATATGTAGTGTGTGTAAAGAACACATTTGTATATGTAGTGTGAGTAAAGAATACATTTGTCTATGTAGTGTGTGTAAAGAATACATTTGTATATGTAGTGTGTTTAAAGAATACATTTGTTTATGTAGTGTGAGTAAAGAATACATTTGTATATGTAGTGTGTGTAAAGAATACATTTGTTTATGTAGTGTGTGTAAAGAATACATTTGTTTATGTAGTGTGTGTAAAGAATACATTTGTTTATGGAGTGTGTGTAAAGAATACATTTGTATATGTTGTCTGAGTAAAGAATACATTTGTACATGTAGTGTGAGTAAAGAATACATTTGTATATGCTGTGTGTGTAAAGAATACATTTGTGTATGTAGTGTGTGTAAAGAATACATTTGTATATGTAGTGTGAGTAAAGAATACATTTGTATATGTAGTGTGAGTAAAGAATACATTTGTGTATGTAGTGTGTGTAAAGAATACATTTGTATATGTAGTGTGAGTAAAGAATACATTTGTGTATGTAGTGTGTGTAAAGAATACATTTGTATATGTAGTGTGAGTAAAGAATACATTTGTATATGTAGTGTGTGTAAATAGTACATTTGTATATGCTGTGTGTGTAAAGAATACATTTGTATATGTAGTGTGAGTAAAGAATACATTTGTATATGTAGTGTGCGCAAATAGTACATTTGTATATGCTGTGTGTGTTAAGAATACATTTGTATATGTAGTGTGAGTAAAGAATATATTTGTATATGTAGTGTGCGCAAATAGTACATTTGTATATGCTGTGTGTGTAAAGAATACATTTGTATATGTAGTGTGAGTAAAGAATACATTTGTATATGTAGTGTGCGCAAATAGTACATTTGTATATGCTGTGTGTGTAAAGAATACATTTGTATATGTAGTGTGAGTAAAGAATACATTTGTATATGAAGTGTGAGTAAAGAATACATTTGTATATGTAGTGTGCGCAAATAGTACATTTGTATATGCTGTGTGTGTAAAGAATACATTTGTATATGTAGTGTGTGTAAAGAATACATTTGTATATGTAGTGTGAGTAAAGAATACATTTGTATATGTAGTGTGAGTAAAGAATACATTTGTATATGTAGTGTGTGTAAAGAATACATTTGTTTATGGAGTGTGTGTAAAGAATACATTTGTATATGTTGTCTGAGTAAAGAATACATTTGTATATGTAGTGTGAGTAAAGAATACATTTGTATATGTAGTGTGTGTAAATAGTACATTTGTATATGCTGTGTGTGTAAAGAATACATTTGTGTATGTAGTGTGTGTAAAGAATACATTTGTTTATGTAGTGTGTGTAAAGAATACATTTGTGTCTGGAGTGTGTGTAAAGAATACATTTGTATATGTTGTGTGTGTAAAGAATACATTTGTATATATTGTGTGTGTAAGAATACATTTGTGTATGTAGTGTGTGTAAAGAATACATTTGTATATGTAGTGTGAGTAAAGAATACATTTGTTTATGTAGTGTGTGTAAAGAATACATTTGTTTATGTAGTGTGTGTAAAGAATACATTTGTTTATGTAGTGTGTGTAAAGAATACATTTGTATATGTTGTGTGTGTAAAGAATACAT